AGACTTCACGTATTGCCTGTTGGCGATATCAATTTGAACGATACATTATGATAGCAGTATGCTATTACTCAATGTTTTTACCTGCTCTGTTATATCACGCATAGTCTATATTCTATAACAACAACATTTTGCAGGTCTGGGAACGAGGTGCAAAGTGTTATTTCAAGTTATTCATGTACTGACTTTCTGATCGTTTTTATTCCAGCTCTGTTGAGAATAAAAACCGACACAAATAGGATTGAAAGAGGTGGCTTTTCTGTAGCCTTGTTTGGAGTGAAATCCTAAAAAAAACTTTAATAATGACTCAGAATTGAATAAAAATTATATTTATTCACAGAACGCTTAAATTCAGTTGCAGCTTGCAAGCAATTATTATTTAGTATATCAAGCCCACCTTCTGAAAGATATTCGGGCTATTTCTTCAACGTTTGCGAGTACTGGAAGTAAAAACAAGACTAATGGTTGTAATTTATACATTTGGCTGATTGGTGGCAATATTTAGGCAACTTTGATAAAAAAATGCATTAGAATATTTCAAAACCTATTTAAAACCGGTTTTAACTCGAGCCTGAAGCTAGTGCGAGTATTATCTTAACTAAGAATGGATCGACGCGCTACTGTGGTTGACTATTTGAGTGTCTTCCATTGCATTCTCTCTTGGCTAGGCCTGCCCAACCTTCCCAGTGGCGGGGACACTTTCACATGAAGAAATTCATTGCGGTCACAACGTTTTACCAAACTTAAATACCAGCTGATTTACGACAATTTACGTCGTGACACGGACACGATATACGTCGGTTGCGCGTCCCTGAATTAAACGCTTGAATTGCACAACGCACTGGCGGATTTCAGACGAGCACACGAGAACACACTTTCGTCAACTAAGGAGTCAAAATTGAGTGTTATTTTTGCGTCATGATCTTTTTTTATTTAAATACTTCCAGTGACAATGATACTGTTTCAATTTTTAATGAACGTGACGTGCGCTAATATGGGTGCGCTAAAATTGCTTTAGAATTCGCGGGCCTGCAAGAAATGAAAAATACTTTATCATTAATGTTCACCAGAGCGCAAGACTCGATACGTTAATAATAAGCAGAGCCGACAATTGGATGTAGAGGGCCGGAACAGTCACGCCAAAATCGCAATACATATTTTAGATCAGGGGTTCCCAAACCAGGGGTCGCGACCCCAAACTGGGTCTGAGTGATAAGTAGGTAGGGTCGCAAACAGGTCAAGGGGTCGGTGTGGTCGCTGAGATTTGGTAGAGGATAGATACACAAATCATCTAATATTTGACAACCCGTGTTAAATTTAGCAGTTTGTACCATGGCTTACTGTAAAACAAGATCATAAGCATCGCTCTATGCTTAAGCTATAGAAAATGTACGAGCTTATTGTGACATCACTGTTTGGTTTTAGCTTATTTTACTTAATACCACCACATGACCAAACTCAAAAGTCCAGTGAAAGAAATTCTAAACTAAAGTTTCATGATAAATATATATATTGACCTGGGGTCGCACTGGACGCTTGAAAGTTCTTCTTGGGGTCGTCATGAAAAAAGCTTGGGAACCTTGGGAAAATACTAATAATTCAAAGTCTGCTTATAAACTCGTTATATAGGGGTCCGCAATAGACAGCTTGGCGGGTCGCATGCTTCCGACGGTTGGACAGCCTTGCTCTAGGTATTGTAAAACAGCAAATACTCTCTTATTTGATCTATATCTTATAATAGAGGCTGACATTAAGAAACAGCTATTTTAAAGCATTTGTATATTGCAGTAATGAATGTATTTCTAAATGTAAACGTTAGAGAAGAGACTAGGTATACACACTTAATTTAACACACACTTGCAGTCATTGGAATGTTCTTATATACCAGTACTTTAATAATTGGCAACACTGTTTACATTTCTTTCAAAGTGGCGTCAACTGATGTTTCAATCTCTTATTCGAATGAAAACTCTTCCAAATCTTCGTCCGTAAAACCACTTTGGGGGTGCCATTGAGGTTGGAATCCTAAAAGAAGAAGTTCAATCGTGAGATACATGTTCCACATTGCCTGAGTTTAGCAGTACTCCCGTAGTATAAGTGTACCAGGTTAGGGTTGGGCCATAATTTCATTCCGATTTTCTCTATTTTAGTTCTATTACTAGTTCGGTGACTGTCTTGTGTTAGCCAAGTGAATATATCCCCCGCCCATAGGCTTCTGTCCCTTTACACACCTTGTATGAAGTAGGCGAAAAAAAATTAGTTTATTCCATATTGGTACACACACTCCTGGAGCGCCAGTTTAGCTAACTCAGGCATAAAACACTTTACCGGTATAAGAAAGGATATATTTCATTCATGTGTATATATATTTATTCCCAACAGCAATATTCCTCGTTTAGTTTTCATTTTCAATAATATGAATGCTTAATACCTTTTGTACGAGTATTTTTAAAAGTACAAGATGGGCACTCGCTACTCGTTTTTCGATCGCAGACTCACAGTTGTTTAAAGTTTCTCAATTAAAATAATTTACTAGTAAAATGTAGCAGTGGGTAAAACATGGCTTCAATTTAATTTGACTTAACAGTTTTGAAGTCTGACTAAATTACCGATACCTTGGAGTTCAAAATGATGTTTTCGGGGGTATAAATAATGTCTTCAACACCAGCTTGCAACAACAGATTCCAAATCTATATTTCTGGTCTAAATACCATTTGAAACTTTTTTTAGCGAATGTTTTAAATTTCAATAAAATCGAAATATTCTCACTTTTTGTGCCCCATTCCATTGGACGAAAGAAAGTTGTGCGAACTATTCCGCCACGAATTGTTTCACGAGGTCTTTGAAATGTGTGTCTAAATGGTCGATAAGTTTCTGTTCTTTTGCTGAAAAATAAGAGAAATATAAAATACAGATACGGCGGAATGAATTAAATTAGCTCATTATTAGAAACCTCATTCTTTTCATCTTCAAAACGAAATGTGCTATTTTAAATTCACAGTTTTCACCGTGATAACGCCTTTGTTTTTTGAAAACATTAGAAAATAACTAAAATTTCGTATTTCGTGCAAATTAAAAATATGTATGAAACCAATAGATATAAAAATTTAAGAGATGTCGACCTACCTCCACCACGAAGTTGATGTTTGGATTAGAAGTCCAACAATGCAAATGAATAAAATCATTCCATGCATTATGTAGCCTGTGATCTAGTTAACAAAAGAAACTACTTTTATAAGCTAGTCTTATGGTGCTAAACAATAACATGAGAAATGCATTAGTTTTACCATTGTTTTAACTTCTCAATAATCACTTCTCAATTCGCCATAATATTTCAATTACTCGTCAACTTTCTCATTTTAAAGTATAAGAAACTAAATATTACTGACCACAACATATTGATTGCGTGCAACGCCTCCGAATGTCAATGTTTATTAAACATACTCGAACTTTGGGGGCAGGATGACCAAACTTTTTTTTTTCATGTTTTGGTTTCATCGCCTAATATCACGAAGTCTGCGATACTTTTGTCTCAGTTTCGTTTGTTATGGAACGTCCTTCATCAATCATGTTGTGAATCGATACAAGCTCATCTCTGTCTTATGTTAGTTGAGAATAATAATGAGTCATTTCACGCGCCGTCATTTTACAATATGAACTACATGAAAATTCTGATGTTTATGTATTCATAAGCAAAGAGTATGACAGAGTCTATTTTTCTTTGTCGATATCAAAAGCAATGCAATAGTCATAAAACATTACACTTACATCGGCATGGCTTTGGTATCCTTCAAAAAACATCTAAAAACTTTAAAACCTATCTTGTGCAAAAAAATATAAAAGACAGTATTCATATACTCCTTCAATCAACGATAGTTACAATCTATTATTCATGATTGACATTATTTATAGTTTTTAAAGGGTGAAATGATTCTTTAGAACAGTTTTCAAACGTGCTCTCTTTTTAGAATTTTTCAAGTCTTGCGCCCTATACCTCGAAAATAACTAGATATTACTAGAATAACAGCTGGTATGTCGAAAGTGTGGTTTATTCCAGAAAATACGTTGAAAATGCGTGGGTGGAACGTAAATATATATCTATATATATATAAAATATCCAAAATAAGGTGGAAGATCAAATCTAACAAATATTTTAATTAGCTTCACGCCCTTTCAAAAAATTGTCCACGCCCCTTTTTGGTGGGACGCGCCTCACCGTTTGAGAACCACTGCTTTAGAATGTCGGATTGTCATGTTGGAGAGGTGTTGAGGGAGTACTATGTACCAAGAAGCCATTGAGAGTGTTATACCAATCTTGTGTGACACTTGATTTATCTGGCGCTAATAGCGACATTTTAGGGTAAATATCGAATGATAATCTAGTCTTGTGGAACTATTTTTGAACCAAAATAAAAGCAATACTTCATGAATGTTGATGTTTAGAATATTTCATTGAATAATATTGACTATTGCATGTGCTGAACAAACTATTCCGGTATTTTGGAAACACGTATGCGTATTTAAAGCAAGGTGGGAAATACCAACGGCAATTCAAGTGTTCACAAAATCCAGTACTTTGAGATATCGCATGATTGCATTGTGCCTGCTGCGGTGTAACAGGGTCCGACGTTCCAAATCCCAGTGCAAAAAAAAAAAACTCGTTTGATGAGGAATTTCTAAGCAGAGACAAACTTCAGCGGATGAAGTCGGCAAATTACATTGTTTTGTTAACACGGTTGTGGTCCCTATCCTCAAAACGAATATACATACCCAGTGACAATCGTACGCCATGGGTTTAGCTTTAGCTAAAATGAAATCTTCATGTGGCGGAGATACTTCATGTGTATTCATTTTATTATATTGTCTAAGTATTATTAAGTTAACTCATAATGCTTGCACCGACATGTATCCTATTGCGGTTAGTGACCCGACTAATTTTCATTCTATTCCTTGGCAATGTAATTAAGTAAAGTAATGAATGTAATCCCATATTGAACACAGAGAAGATACTAAAAATACACACAAGCAAAAGAAAAACGCACTAGCATTATGCGTGTCAACGAAATGTTCATATCTATACTTCAATTTGAAAAACAGTTCTTATGACGTGGCTGCAATTGGTGCTTTAGCTTCTTATTCGAATAAAAAATCTTCCAAATCTTCGTCTGCAGAATCACCTTGGACGTCCCACCGAGATAGGAATCCTGTGTATATAAACGTCAATCATGAGATACATGTTCTACATTGACTGTCTTTTGCCAACTAGCTCCGGCCCGAAACACTTTGACAGTATGAACATAACATTCCATAGGGGTATAAAAATAATCACTATATTAATATTTCCAGTGGCGGCGCGTGGTCATTTTGACAACCGGGGCAAGCTACTGCGGGACGAAGTCACCCCCATCTACGGGGACAGGATGAGCGCTGTAAGTTCTCCCATCATTTTATGAGTATAAAAACCATTCCATCGGTAACAACCAATCGGCAAAAGCGACAATTTTTAACGATAAGAAAGTGTCTTTAAAACCGGTCCAAGTCAAGGGATTAATAAATATAGACATAGTTTATTTTGAAACCTCTTTCAAAAGGAAAGGCAATATTTACCCCGATAAATGCAATGACATATTAACAGAAACTTCGAGAAAGCAGACAAAACCTAAAATAAGGTTTAAAACGTTACTATGAAGAAAGGAAAGGTAATGCAAAGATAAGGACAAGCGTCGCTCACTCATAGATATATATGCTGCTAGACTTCTACTGCTTGAACACATATGCAACACGCCGCGGTTTCTTGGAAGCAAAATGCTCAATAAACGCGCTGATTAAAGTCATGCATCCCAGAAATAACGTCTCTGTGAATGAATAAAACAGCCAAGGAATTTAATCTATCTTGCTTCATTGTGTTTCTGAGATACGTTTTAATACGCTTCAGCGTGCTGAATGTTCGCTCTGCGTCGGCGGAAGAAATAGGCGTCGTCAAAATGATGTCCAGAAATTTTGCAGACGCCGCAAAGGTAGTTACTAGAGTGTTATCTATGTGGAACCCATAGAGCGCGCAAGTTGATGTGATGTTCAAAAAAGTTTGATTGGTGTATATACATCGCAATTCATTTTCCAATTTACCCACGTTTATCATGGGGTAAAATTTGGATGGGAAATTGACGTGCAAATTTTGAAAAATTTTTGGGGTTTATCAAAGAGAACGCCTATTTGATTCATCAGAATGTCACAGCATTCCTTTGCAGACAAAATCAAACGCTGCGTTGTTTGCCCGCGGCGTAAAGAAGCACTCCATGTTTCGTCGTATTTTATTGTTTCCCGGATACGAGATACAGCATCGCAGAAGTCTGAAATACACGACTGCACAGACGCTACATCCATTAGCCCTGACTGCGATGCGCCGTATAATACATCCACGTGATAGAATATTGTGGAGAAAAAAGCGAGAAAAAATGAAAACTCACCATCTTCTAGCAGACGCTTTAGACCTGCCGCCTCCCTCACAGAGCGTTCGTGCCAAACCGGAGAGCTCTGAAAGCCATTGAAACACTCAATGAGCTCAGGCCTAATTTCGGACACGCCCTGCACCACGCGTGATTGGAAGTTCCAACGTGTTGGTGCACAAGCTGGGAGACGGCGGCTACATATCTGGCGAAGGAGGTCAGAGCGCTTCGGCGAAACGGAAAAAAATGAAGAAAACTCCGAAACATTTGCAAAAAATATACGGACGAGAGGGGTATGAAACACATATTTTTAATAACGAGGTTAAATTGGTGTGCATAACAATGTAAAAATGCGCATGAGGAAAATCTTCTTTTATATAAACTTGAACACCATGTTTCGACCCACTCATGACTGCCGCGTCGTCATAAGTTTGAGCTATCAATTTTGACTTCGCGTTGTAAGGCTGTAACACTTCTTTCAGTACAGCCGATATCCCGCAAGCCGTGCGATCAACGATTGGTACAAAGCTGTGAAATCTCTCGGTAGGTGTACCATCTTTCACAAACCGAAATATCACAGCCAGTTGGGAAACGCACTTGATGTCAGTTGTCTCGTCAGACTGAATCGAAAGGAACTGGCAATTCTCATTTTCTAGAGCCAAATGTTGTAAATAAATTTTATACATTGAGTCGAGCAAATCATTTTGGATATCCTTAGATGTCCCTTTCGAAACAGTTGCCTCATCAAGATGATCTCTCAATACTGCATCTAGGGATGCGGTGTATTCCACCATATCCAAAAATACCCCTCTATTAGAAGAGCCAGCCTGTTCATCGTGCCCACGGAGGGACAGCTCGTGACAACCAATGAACTTCAAAACATCTATCAATCGACCGAGAACATGGCGGTTTTCTCGACGTTTTGGTTGTGCTGACGAATAGAAACCGCGCGTCCTTCATCCAACTGTGCTGCAATATTAACATTTCCGAATGTTCGGTATTTTACTGCATTGTGCAGATGCATAGAAGATTGATGATCCCTGGCACGCTCGGAAAGATGTTTAAGATATCTAAAACCAAATTTACACCAACGTGAGTCACGGGCGGTAGCAAAAAGTAGGCAATAAAAACAAAAAAGTGCATTTTTGTCCTCGCTGTAACACAACCATTCGTGTTTTTATACCAAGTTTCTGCGCAGAATGTACGCCGACGCTTCCCTCCGTCATGGGATTGTTCCAGTGAAAAAATTTTTGGTTGATAAGGCCCAGGACGTTGAACCTCTAATTTTTGTTCCAGCGGCAGCTGCGAAAACGGCGAACGAAGTAGTGCATCAACCTTATTCAAAATGAGGTCTAAGGCTAAGAAATGCGAAGCCGGAAAGAAGTGAGGAGCTCGAAAGGAATGTGGAAAATCGAAAGCAAATGGACTAAAGGTCTCTAACTGATTCAAATAGCGAAACAAGCGACAAAAACGAAGGCGAGGAAACTATCAACTCTTCAAGCAACCAACGAACGAGAAGGAATGCGTGAATATGTCAACACGTTGTTGTAAGAAACGTCGGCATTGTGTCGTCATAATTTCGGGGCTAGCCCCGATGATTTAGTAAAAGAAACAGAAAACAAACGAGACAAACGCGGCGAGTGGAAGATAAAAGAGAGAATACGATATACAATGAGCAACCGGGGCAAAATCGGCGTCGCCCCGTCGACGTTCGGGGAAGGCTTTGCGAGCGAAAAATGAACCATGTCGGGAGAATATGGCTAGTGTAGACAGTCTGTGCAACCGATATTGAGGTATTTTTCGAATATTTTTTATTATACCGAAAAAACAACCGGGGCAATGCCCTATCGACGCGCCGCCACTGAATATTTCTAAGTTAATCTCTTTATGGGTTTTCGACTTTATAAATAATGTTTTGCATGAGTAATTTCAAAATCACAAGATCTATCGAAATGTGCACTCGCTACTTCGACTCCAGATTACTAGGTGATATATATGTAACACTGCCTCAATCTCGTAGCTAAAATTATTTATCACTGCACATTAATCACGTGAAAAGCATTGTTTCAATTTGATTCAACTTCGAAGTTAAACATCTGACTAAACAAATCTGTTCCGCCCCGCACCCGACATCAGGGGAATAAAATTGATACTTTATGAAAATATAAATAAAGACTTTAACACCAGCTAGCAACAGACTCTAAATCCAATGTCTGTTAAGAATAGAAAATTGGAATTTTTTTGAGCGACTGTTGTCAATTATCACATTTAACGGATTGTTCTTACCCTTTGCATCCCATTTCCATGAATGGTAATTGGTTGTCTTTACCCCCCATTTACTTGGACGGAAATAGGTTGTTCTAAAAAATAAAAACGCTATGAAATAGAGATATGGTTCGTTCGTAAATTACATAATTAAGTCTGTCGTGGACAGTGTCGTCTTTACCATTGACCTCTTAATTGTAAAGGTTCCTTTCAGAATGAAACCGGTATAAGATGTTACAAAACTGATATTTGTTCAATGTTTTAGGCGGGTTATTAAATTTTGTCCCAAATTGTTTAGCGTCCATAAGTTTAAAACAGAATACGACCGAATCAATAAATTTGTCCAGTTTTGAAAATCGCTACCTTTTCAAACTTGATAACGTTATCTGCTATTTTAAAATACCAGTTTACCGTAATAATGCCATTACGTTTTTGAAAAAAAGAGAAAATATCTCAGCAACAACGAATCTAATACTTGATATATTTATTACTAGTTCGTATCGGTAGACGTATTTCATGCAAGTTAAAATAAATTTAATACGTCATATGCAAGAAATGTATATGATGAAGTCACAAGGGTTTCATGACGTCAATATTACTCGAGTTACAAAGACTGATTTCTCTGACTGATTTGCGTTTTCATTGTAAGCCACAGTTGAATAATTACAAAAGCTTTCAACCGTTACCAACAAAAATTAGGAAATACATGGATTCGAAAAAAATATTAAAACTTTAAATACTGTCCTCATAACCCCGATAAGATATCGACCTACCTATACCATGCCGAAGTTGATGTTTGGATTAGAAGTTCAACAATGCAAATGAGTAAAATCATTCTATTCATTATGTAGCTTTGGATCTATAAGTTCCTGCAAAATAATCCACTACTTATTTATCTCAACTTTTATAAGCTAGTCGAATGTAGCTGTACAATGACATAAAAAAATACACTGGTTTTACCACTGATTCTACTGCTTATTAATTAATTCCCAATTTGCCATATATTTTTTTAAATTCAGTTATCTACTTAGAAGTATACGCATACGAAACAAAATATTACTGGATACAACATATCTCATGCGTGCAACGCCTCCGAATGTCGATGTTTATTAAACATAATCGAAATTTAAATCGGGGGCAGAATGATGGAATCGTGTTATTTTTCATGTTTTGGTTTCATTGTCTAATATCCCGAAGTTTACGAGACTATCATCTCAGTTTCGTTTGTTATAGCAATTACTTCATCAAGCATGTTGTGTATCGATACAAGTTCATCTCTGTCTTATGTTAGTTGGAAATAATAATGGCGAGTCATTCCACGCACCGTCATTTTACAATACGAACGATGGGAAAATCCTGATATTTATGTATCATTAAGAAAACAGTAGGACAAAAAGTCTATTTATTGTGCTTCGCCGATATCAAAGGCAATGCCTTAGTAATAAAACGTTACGCTTACTTGGGCATGGGTTATTCTTGTATCATTAAAATATAAAAAAACATCTACAAATTTTAAAACCCAACTCGTGCAAAAAAATATAGAATACAGTCTTCGCACACTCCTTCAATAAACGATAGCAATAATGTTCTATCTATTATACAGGATTCCTATTATTCATAGGGAGGGTTTTTATAGGAGAAATAATCCTTTAGAATAGTTCTGAAACTTTTGAAGCCCTGCTCTCCTATTTAGAATTTGTCAATTCTCGTGCTCGACCTCAAAAATAACTAGCTACAGATAACGGATAGTATGTTTTATTTATTAAAAAAGTTGAAAATGAGTGGGTTGAACGTAAATACGCCCCCCCCCCCCCCCCCCCCCAAAAAAAAAATATATATAAATATTTAAAATAAAGCGGTTAAAATAAAATCTAACAAATATTTTAAGTTTAATTTGCCCAACGCTAGGCTTGCACGTAATTTACGGATTTACGGAATTACGTAATTATTTGGAGTTACGGAAGGGAAGTTACGAATTACGTAAAGTCGTAATTATTGCATTGAAACGAGCTTTCTTCAAAGCAGTCAATTTCGTCGATTGCGAAAAATGAAAACTCCACAAGTAGAAGAAGTTAGAGTTCCGGTATTCGCAGCCGTTTTTCTCTCTCTTGTTACGTAGGTGAAGGAAGGCATGCCGCGTTGCCATTTACTAACCTATTGTCAACTTATCTGGCGTGGCCAATGTAAATTATTAGTTAGTTAATGGGGGAAGAACTGAGTAGGGTCGTTTGACGTCAACACACCTGGTTTTAACTTCTCCCGCAACTTAACCATAGATAAGGGATAAAATTGTGTTAAGACCGATGGACGCTAACACGCCCGGTTTCAACTTCTTCGGATGAAATGACTAATGAACGCAGGAGATCAATCTATCAAACATGGCCTATCAAACATTTGTATCCATTTTACTTTTATTTATTATTTACTTGTTCCAGTTTTCCGTTACTTATGGTATATATGTTCCGTTTCTATTTTATATTCACGCGTTTGAATAGTGGGAATTCCCCGCCAAGTGTGGATTAGCAATGCTTAACCATTCTTTATTGTTAATATCAACACTTGATATATGAACATGGAATATCATATTGTTTTTGGCTGTTTCATTTCAGACTTGGGGTATAAACAGGAAAATATCCATAACCTTTCAACACGACGATCTTGTGAAATTTAACGAAGAGCTTTCGCGACGAATTGGAACCAAATAAGCGAAAAGAGCGATTGATCACTCGCGCCAATACCTCGCCGTGATAATTAATGTCGCGCTTATCAAATAGCAATTTGACGACAAAAGAGAGATTGCGTAATGAACCAAAACGACGGATTCCTCGCGGACCGTTGAAAATTTAACTGCTATCATATATAATCAAATATGAGCCTGTGTGTTTATTCTGTGCGAGATCCATTTTCTATTACAAAATCTTGATGTTCTGTTAACGGTTTTATCTTATATATCAGTCCGGACTTGGCCTTGCTCATGATGTTTTTCACAATTCCTCTCAATATTTCGGCCATATATGATTAACTGTCTTACCAAATGCGGCAACTTATTTCGATTTATCGTCGACTTGAATACCACCGGCACTCGACCAAACTTTTGTCAATCTTGGCCGATAGGATCGCCGACTTGAGTTAGCAAATAAATGTTGTGAGTGTAAAATAAATGTCACAAAATGCATTGTTTTGCGATATAACTTTGTATTTTCGGAGAAGGCATGTCATATAAGTTCGGTATTTAAATTATACGCAAATAAATAATATTTGATCTAAATTTATCGCAAATAATGTTATAAACATTCAGTCCGCGAAATGATTGAATGTAACATGAAGCATGGTAATCGGAATATCGTCAATAAGTCGACAACAATAATTATTATTATAAAAATGCTAACAAGGCATTAATGTCGGATAATGCAGAAAACGCTGCAAAAACAAGTCTTCGTCGCGAGGAAATCGCAAGTATAATCAAATGAGAGAATACGCTCGTCGTTGGTTAATAAATCAGAAACCCGTAATTTTTATTCAGTACTAAGGTGGTTTTAAAAAACTATCGTTTCCATAAATATCCGTATACCAGTGTCGGTAATGATAAAATAAAATTGATCGCATAAAAATGGGACGGTTAATTTGCGAAGGTGATAAAGAAAAACCAAAGCTAACACAAAAAATAAAAATCAGAATAAAATTAATTTGAATTCACTCCTTGATAGTTGTCTTTAACATCTGCCGCCGGCGTGTAGTACTGCCAAGAATATGAAAACCCAACTTCAATGTCCCATTCGGAAAAAAAGTGGATTCAATGGGTTGTTACGATAGGTTTAAATGCGTGGAAAAATATCGCAATTACGGGGTCATTACGTAATTGATTTTGCCGTAATTACGGAATTCATTTTTGTCAATTACGTGCAAGCCTACCCAACGCCCCCTCAAAAACGCCAATTTGTATGGCGTGCCCACCGTTTGGCAACCATAACTGCTTTAGAATGTCAACATAAATGAGTAAAAAATATTGACTATCACAATATGCTCAACAAGCGATTCCGGTTTTAGCTGATGAAGTCGGCAATTACATTATTTTGCTAACACCGGTTGTGGTCTATATCCTCGGCACGAATATACTCAGTGGCAATCGTGCGCCATATGTTTTGCTTTAGCTAAAATGGAATCTTCATGTGGCAGAGATACTTCATGTGTGTATATTATATTGTCTAATTATTATCAAGTCAACTCATAAAGCCTGCACCGACATGTATCCTGACCTGACTGTTTTTAATTCCATTCCTTGGCATAAATTAAGTAACTTCGCTTCTGATTTGGTATCTATGCAATTTGCATTTGAATACCGAATGTTTCAATAATGAATGTATTTCAATATTAAATAATTACACAGAGAAGAGGCTAAGAATTCAAATTGATATAAAAATCATCCTTCAGTATATTGTCAATGTATTGTCCATATTTTTGTTAATTAGACACACAATTTTTAGTTTTTTCGGAACGGCTGCAATTGGTGCTTTAGCTTCTCATTCGAAAGCGAACTTTTCCAAATCTTCGGCTGCAGAATCACCTTGGCATCCTGTGTATTTAAAATGTAAATGTAAAATGTATTGTCCATATTTTTGTTAATTAGACACACAATTTTTAGTTTTTTCGAAACGGCTGCAATTGGTGCTTTAGCTTCTTATTCGAAAGCGAACTTTTCCAAATCTTCGGCTGCAGAATCACCTTGGCATCCTGTGTATTTAAAATGCCAATTATGAGTTACTTATTCGACAATTACTGTGTTTGGCGAGTTCCTACCCTAATACACATTACCAGTATGAGAAGATATTCTTTTTATTGATATATATTTGAATATTCACATTATACGTTCATTTTGCCATTCGTTTTCGACATTGTAAATGCTAAGAATGTTTTAAAGGAGTATTCCCAAAAGTTCAAGATCAAATGAGATGGGCACTCGCTTTTTGGAGTTATCCAACTCTATATTGCAGGTGATATATATACCTCTATCTCTTATCTAAAATTATTTATCACTGCAAATTAGTGGTATGAAAAGCATTATTTTATTTCAATTTAACGTGAAAAAAATAGAGTATAATAAAATGAATCTATTCTTATACATACATCAGTTAGACCCCGATATACATCAGTTATAATTGATAAGTTATGATTGGTGCCTCAAGGGGGTATAAATAATGTCTTCAACACCAGCTGGTAAAAATAGAGTCGGATTCCCAATTTCTGGTCAAAATGAAATGTAATTATCGTGAGAGTAAGTTGTTATTTAACGAATTGAGCAGATTTTTCTTACCTGTTGCAACCCATGTCATTGATTGGGAGGAGGAGGCTGTTCTGGTAAATCCATACCCCCTATTCCAGGGATGTGTTTGAAATCTATACCGGCATGGACGATTAAACTTTTTGAACTTTCTGCGGAAGAATTAAAACGTTATAATATACAGATATTGTTCATGGTGGAACACATAATGAAGTCTGTTGTGAACAATGCCGGATTTACCCTTAGCCTGGGGGATCCACGCCCTCTAAATGGTAAAGGTTCGTTCCTGAGTATCGCCGGTTTAAAATGTTATAAAACTAACAATTATTGATGTTTTAGTCAGGTTAACAATTGTTGTCATAAAATACTCAACGCTCAAAAAATTAAAACAAAAATACGATCAAATAAATAATTTTGTTTTATTTTGTAAAACGATACTTTTTGAATCGTAGTAATCTAATCTGTTATTTTAAATAGACAGTTTTTACGGTCATATTGTTATTTTTCCATTTTGCCTTATTTTCTTTTGAAAATATAGGAAAAATATATCGGCAATAGAGTATCTAAAAATGAGTATATTCATTGCTATATCT